AAAGACCAGGGAACCAGTCTGGAACTCACCCCACATGACACAAGTCAGTTCCAAGGAGGCTCTTCAGACTCCAGAGAACATTCTGGGAGAACATCAACAGGGATTCCTCCTTATCAAAAAATGCGGGCATAAGTTTTCACAGGTTTACTGGGCCTACACACTGTGGGCACTATTTGCTGGGCCTACAAGCCCTCTGATGAGTTTCAGGACATTCTAGAAGCCCTCAGGCACCAGGGGTGCACAGGGCAAAAGCTCAGTTTCCTCCAGAGTTCCAAGTTCATTTATGTGGCCATCCACTAAGGCAGCAGTTCTCAAACGCCAGGGAGTCCTGGATGGGTTGTTAAAAGCAGACTGCTTCACCTCTAGAGTTTCTAATTCTCGAGGGCCAGGCGGAGCTCAGTTGTCTGTATTCCTAACCAGCCCTAAGTGACGTAGGTGCTGTGGGTTCAAGGACTCCTCTTGGAGAACCACTGTTCTAATGTAAAGGCGGGATGATGCTTTTTAAGGTCCCTCCTAGTGCCAAAATCCTACTCTCAGCTCTACACCCACACCTCAGCAACACCTCAAGCCCGCCAGCACCTGCGGTCTGAGGAAGCCCAGCAGGCCAAACAGCAGGTGGTCCTGGGAAACCGGGTTCTAGTTTATGGCTGGAGAGTGTGGTGAAGTGGGATTAGCCTCCCTGCTTCATAGCTTCAGGGAGACCAAGTGCCCGGGGCCCCCTCTTCCTGGCTCTTCTGGTCTCCTGGGTTCTCAGGCTCTGGCACCCCCTTCTGCCACCCCTCCCTCACCTCCTTCATCCATCTGAGCTCACTTCACTGGCACTTCTTCCTGTTCCCAAAGAAGAGGAGAGGCTGGGAGCCTTCTGAGTGGGTGAGTCCAGTCGTCAGATGGTCCTTCTTACCCAAGGTCACCTGCCCTTGATCCTCGCAGGTTTCTGGCCTCCCACCCAGTCTGTGGTAGTAACATACCCTGACTAATCTGGTGGTTTTTCCAGAGGCTGCTAATAAGTGTCGGATGCATGACAAACAGCGGTTGGCCTGGGAGAATGCTTTGGAGAGAACTGGCGGAAGGTGTCCTCCCCTTCTGTGTCCCTGTGAGCCACCCTCGCCATGACTCTGTCTGCTCCGCTGGGCTGGGACTGGGGGAACAGGGCTGAGGGGGGCTCTGTGTCCTGGGATCGGGCCAGAGATATTTGAGAAGTGAGGGCACACTTTGGAAAGAAGATAAAGCAGGCCCTGGGAACACTACTCCACAGTTTCTCAACCCTCATGCAAGAGAGAAACCAACTCTCCAAGTCACATGCACAAAGACAGCTCCTTGGAGCACACCTGAACAACATTCCATGTCCTCACCGACCATCTGTCAGTGACAAAAAGGCTTCTCTCCAAGCTAGGAAGTATAGGTTTCTCCAGCTCGGACCCAGATGCTGGGATCCGCGGGATAGCAGACAAGATTGAACCCGGGCGTGTCAGTGGTATTTCTCTACTCACAGACACGTGAATACCACTTTCTTCACGCCTCAGGCAAAAGGCTCCTTCTGTGGGGATCAGAGAGAAGCATGGACCCACTGGCCTCTAATTAAGTGAACATCCTCTCCTGTCCTCCCCTACCTTACTGGAGAGCAATGGGGCTGCTGAATTGGTTCCAGATGTTGAATTCAGATGGAATCCGAATTGGGCTGGCTCATGCTTTCAGCCCAGGCTGAAGCATGATTCGGGGGAAGAAGGGAGGGGAAGGAGCAGGTAAGGGATGTTAGGGAGCAAACGACAGAGGTGGTTGCCTTTGTGTTTGGTAGGGAAAAAGACATTGTAAGTGGTACCCTGGGTGCAGTGTGGGGTCCTGGACAGTGCCCTGCACTAAGACACAAAACAGCATGGTTAGAATTCCCACCCCTAAGGTGGCCTGAAAGGTTGTCACTGACCTCTCTAGGTTATAGTCACTTTATCTGTAATACGGAAATAGTGATTGGTCAACTGTGTAACACAAGGGTCTAGTAAAGATGAGCCCTAGGGATTCCTTTTATATCTCTGTTCCCAGACTAGGTCATGAAAAACCTTGCCCCACAGGATTTAATCCCGCTTTAGGGTGGAAGTGGGCCTAACCTGCTGAAAATGGAGCTTACCTTACCCCTTTTTCTCCTCACAGATCTCTGCAATCATTCTAAATTATCATTGTTCAAACTCACAGCGAGGAAATTATGCCTCATATCTAAGTTCTTCGCAATAAGGAAGAAAATCTTACTTCTGCGGACCCGGACCCAGGCCTGTCTGCGTCTCTCACCACACACAGCACGGACATGGAGCCTGAGAGGCACTGCTGACTGATGAACAGTTGTTCTAAATACAACTTTACAAACTTTCTCTTCCTGGAGATTATTAACCCTCCTATTATTGTCGCCACTGTTTTCCAGAATGGTTCCTCAAACTCATAAAAAACAGGGAAGTGGCACAAAGTGGCACTCCCTCCACAGGTCGGGTCGAGGTCGGGCGCTCGAGGTCGGTCGAGGTCGGGCCTGCACCGTCCCCAGATCCCGGCAGCTTGGAACGCCTGGGAGTGCAAGGCTGGGGGGCTCTGGGTGTTTCCCCTGGGTCTCGCTTGGCCATCTGGCTCCCACACCAGCATGCAGTGGGGACTCCCCCTCCCCACCCTCTGGCCCAGAGGCCCCTACCAGTAGTCCTCTGTGCTTCCTCCTCTGCTGTAGACGGGGCCCTCCAGCTCCCTGGGGGTTGGGAAGATGTTCTCATGCTGGATGATGGTGGTTTTGATCAGCTCATTCACGTGGGCTTGGCAGGACACCTGGTCGTGGCCCTCAGGCACTGACATCAGTGAGGGCCCGAAGCAGATGGCGAGGTTGTAGGGGTCCATCATGTTCTCTTCACTGAACTGTGATAAACTGGAGGAGAAGGGAAGGGGGCAAGCTGGAAAGCTCTCGCATGAATGCCCAGAAAACACAATCGTGGGAGGCAATGCCAAGAGCAAGAGCAGAAGCTCCACAAATTGCCACCTGCTTTCCTGGGCATCAGAGCCCTTCTAGAAAGTCTGGGGGGGAGAAGAGAATGACCACCAGGACGGTCATTCGGGAGCCACCTCCTTGCAGGTCTCTCCCCTCCTCCCTCTCCAGCTCCCCCTTCAAATCCTACTTGTCACCGCTTCACGAGCCCCGCTCCATACCTCACCCACCAAACCCACCCTGCCTCAAGAATACGCCACTCTGCACAACTGGGATGGCTCCCACACGCCAGCCCCCGAAGCTGCCAGCGCAGATGGAGGCCCTCAGGCTGCCCTCGTACTGATATGGTCAGAAGACACAGGCACTGTGTGTTGTGTACCTCCTTGCACAGCAAAATAATCAAATTACTAGGGATATTCCATTCCAAGCTCTAGACGTATTTAAAAACATTGCCACCCGATTAGCTTTTGTATCCCGTCAAGCAAGTGAATTTCTTTCTGGAACAGCTAATGTAATTGTTTTCCATTTTCATAATATCCTCTATTATTACAATCAAGATTTATTCAGGAAAAGGTCAGCATGCTGCTCAGTTTATGCTCAGGCTTTCTCTGGATGCAGTCTGACTTCGTCATTGGGTATTTATTTTGGGAAGTCCCCTTTTCAGCCAGCAGCTGCTCTGGCCACACCTCCAACCTTGGCCAAGGCCCCAAACCCTTCAGGGAGACCCTGGGTCTCATCGGCCCTCACCGGTCTCTGTTTGTCCAGGCTGATGGCTTGGCCAGCTCTGGGTCTGTACCCCCCCGCCCCAGCCCTAGGGTGTGGAGCTGTGGGCTCTGCTAAGGAGTACTGCCTCCCTGATGGGCATCAGCAGGAGGTCCCCGGCCCCTGATTCTTACAGCTCTGAGGAAAAACCAAATCCCTCTGATGCCGAACCAGAGGCCTGAGACTCAGCTGTCTTCATCTGAGTAGGCGTTCTTCAGAACCGGACAGAGTTCATTTCTAGTGTATCCTGCACCCAGACTCAAATTACCAAGCTGGTCTCTCTAACCCAATGGTTCTCTCCTCTACTGAAGATTCACATACATCTGTCCGCTTTGGAGAATCGGTGCAGGACCAAAGAAGCGGTACGATGGATGTGAACAGCTATCACGGGGGGAATTACTGTCATGGTTGAGAGTCAATGTTCTCTAGGACTTAGTCAACGTAGGGAGGCCAGCGATGTGTTCGGTTATAGATCTCAGTGGCTGGACTGCTTCATAGAAGGTCTTAAAGGCTAAATTTTACAATCCTTCCCTGGCTCCTGAGTTAATAGAGAGCTGGGATTCAGAAAAGGCCGGGAGAAGTTTCCAACTCTACTTTTTGGTCAAACAAACGTTGGAGAGAGATAGGAGAGATAATTACCTTGGTAACCACAACAGGGACAAGGAGGAGGAAGGCCATGTTTCTTTAGTGCGAACTGATGACATTTGGTAACATGGAAGAAAACCAGTCATTTCTGGGGAAGCCTGGCAGTCAAAAGGAAACAAAGTCTAGCTTCAAGAGCCCCAGCCCAAAGCCTTGTAAGAGAGGAGAAACCTTGCCAAGTCTCCTAAGGGAAGGACTGTTCAATTCACAGGTGGCTGCAATGACCATGGGCTTGAGAAGGACACATCTTCATGGACTAGGGTCTCAGGGACCAGATGCATTTCTTACTCTCATTAAAATTTAAACCAAGATCCTTCTCTCTCCTCCAATCTACAATGGGAACACCTGGGTTTAGGGGGAAAGCCATGATTCTTAACTATTTGGGGGGTCACGGCCTCCTTCAAGAATTTGACAGAAAGCAGAGATTCTCTCCCCAGAAAAATTCACATGTGTACACATACAGACGCATTTCATATACAACATAATGGTGCTAATAATCCACGAAGGCCCCAACGTCCATATCCAGTATAGGAATTCAAATATTGGATTTTTATTGGAAAAAAAAAACAAAAAAAACAAAAAAAACAACCTAAAATGGGTAACAGTGGTAACAGCGCCATCTTTAAACATATTTTTTTTGGTGTCAACTTATATAATGCCATCTCTTCTAAGAATTGTACTATATTTCTATAGCTTTTATCTATAATACTAGTGAATTCTTCTAATTGATTCAAACTCATCTTTTGTGTATCTTAACAAGGTTCAGCATAGAGATTGAGAACATAGGCTTTTGGGGAGGAATGAAAAAATCAGGATTAGTGTGGGAAACTTGTTTTTTATCATGCCCTTTTCTGGACTTTTTACCTTTTAATGACGCACATTTGTCTCTTAGATTAAATTAAGAGAGAAAAACAAAACGTCCGAAGAATTTTAGAGTCAATGAGACCTGGTTTTGAGTCCTGGTCACATTGCTTATCAGTTCCCGGACAGTGTTCTAGGTTCCAAGTCTCTTCCTTATAAAAGAACATACCTCCTTTGTGGGGCTGATATAAAGTTTAAATGAGCAATTATACACAAACCACTGAGCACTGTGCCTGGCACATAGGTGGGGCTCAATCAATATTTTCTGTAATTATACTATCCTAATTGCTTCTTGATATAAGGCCCTCGATTCTAGTCAGAAAATGGGAAGCAGGGCTGTCGACATTTGCCAGCAGTTGATTTATAGGAGTCTAGCCACCTTCTTCTCCTGACAGGCATCATCAAGCCGAGGACTCCAGATCCCAACATCGAAGGCTTAAATCCTCGGGGAGAACACTAAGCTTTCGACAGATAGTTTTAAATACATGACATTTCACTTAAAAACCTTCCGCTTCACACGCCCCAGGGGTTTGATTTGGCAACAACCAACAGACTGTGGGTAAGATATTACACATCAGGGTTGATCTTAGGTCTGAAAGGGATGAAGAGAAATTGTGTTATTCACCATGACCCCAGGCAAAACGTGGAGCCGAGAATCCATCAGGCCTTTTAAAAGCTTTTCCAATAGGAGATACTACAACTTCCCACTCTAAATCCGTGATTTAACAGCCTTCCCTGACTTCGCCAAAAGGCTTTCTAAGAGACGAGAAGTCAAGGTAATTCTGGCTGATTTTTTCTCATAGTCCTTCAAAGGCATCCACTCACTCCCTCCGCCTGTAACGCCACCTGTCAGCATCCTCACGCTCCCCGCATCTGTTAAAGGACTTGCCTCTGCGCCCTCATGTTCTGCCTTCCTTCCCCCCGCAGTGAACTCCATCCTCTTTCTCCAGCAAGAATATCACTTCCACCATTGCCCTTGCTTTCTCTTCCATCATTGGTTTTTTCCTCTCCACTGGGTCATTCCCACCAGCATGCAAACATGCAGTGATACTGTCCATCTGAAAAAAAATTCTCTCTTAACCCCATATCCACACCTGTCCCATTTCTCTCCTCTCCATAATAAAATGATTTGGGAGTTGTCTGTACCTGTTGTTTCTGATTCTCTGATTCATCTCCACCTCTTCGGTTATGGACTAAATTGTGTCCCGCTCCCCAAATTTCTATGTTGAAGCCCCCCC